GTGGGTGTGGGGTGCGGGGGGTGGGATCACAGGTTCAGGGGCGCTGTGGGGTGCTCCCCCCTTCTCTGACATACTTCCTCCCCCCCCCCAGCTGAATAACCGGAAGTTCACCATGAGCCCCCGTGTGCCCCCCATCCTGGTGCTGGAGCAACGGGACCAGCAGTGGGTCCCCAAGGACAAGAACTTGTGAGTGAGGACACCCGCACCCCTTGCCCCCCTCTTCTGTAGGCTCCCCCATTGCCCTCTCACAAGACATGACCCAGGCATCCAGGCAGCTCGCTTGTCAAGGGAGGAGGGACCCAGGCATCATGGCTCTGTCCCCTCCCCCACTGGTGTTTGCAGGAGGAACCCAGGCATTCAGGGCTAACTCTCCACCCCCACCCCCCCAGGGTCATGTGGCAGGACTGGGAGTCCTCCCGCCGGGTCTGCCAAACCCTGCTGGAGGCCAAGGCTTATACCCAACTGGTTGACTTTGACGCCCACCTTGATGACATCCGGAGTGACTGGACCAATCAGCAGCTCAATGCCGAAATTGCCCAGCTGACGTCAGTGGCCAATGGCAGTGCCTGAGGTCTTCCATTGGAGGATATGGTGGGTGTGGCCAATGGGCTGCAGTCAGGTTGCAGCTCGGAGCTGCAGAGCCTTCCCAGGCCTGACTTGACAGCCAGTCAGATGTCCAGGATAGTCAGTACTGACCTAACCCCAGGCCGGACCCTCATTGGCCCCCCCCACTCAGATCCCTAAAATTGTTCAGTTTTCTGGTTCTATAAGTTAATGTAGCTTTGTTTCTCCTTGATAACTTCCTATATATTATTTACTATTTTTACTTGCTTTTACCTTTAAAATTCCTTGGAATTCCCAAATCTTAGGGGTAAAAAAAAGTTACAGAAAAATCCACATCACAAATATGAATTCTGTGCAAAGGAAAAACCCAAATTTCCCCAGATTTTCCCAAAATCCTGCATTTCTTTGACAGCTGAAAGGAAGGAGGGCCACTGAACTTCAGATATTAAAAAGCAGCACAAAATGCCCCCAGAACAAGCAGAAAAGCAGGAATATTTAACCTCTGTGACGTAGAAAATGAGAGTAATAAAAGTCCATTTATTAAAACAGGAATTTTAACCCAAAAGCAGATCCGTTACTTTTTAATTCAGAACAAATTGAAAAACTTGTTCGGAGAAAGGTCTTTTAATTTGAGGTATTTTTGGTTTATTTTAGAATCTCTCTTGTTCCATAGAAAGACACTTATTTTGCATTTTTCTTCTTTCCTTCCTCACTCCACCATAATCCTCATTTTTTAAAGAGCTCAAAATACCAAATACTGAAACGTGACAATCTGAAGAGTTTAAATGCACCTTGTAAAGTGCTTTTTTTTTGTGGGGGGAAATAAGGATTTGATGTTTACATTTCCCTACTTTTTGTGTATACCTTGAGTTTTATTGAATATTAAATACGTTAATATATATTATTACATTAAATATATTATTTCTTCCTTTTTCAACACAACTATGTAACCATGTCAAAAACTATAAGTGTGTGTGTGTGTGTATACATACATAATACACTTCCTTCAATAGATTATTCTGATTTTTTATCTTATACTTTTACACAAATGCTTTTCTATTGAGTTTTGCAATCAAAACTCCTCATTTACTTAAAGAATTGGCCACAAAGTTACAGAAATGAGAAGCCAGAAATTTAACAAAGCAACTTGGAAACTGAGGGGTTTGTTTGTTTGTTTTGGCTGAGAGAGAGCATTTTTGTTTTGTTTAAAAAAAAAAAAAAAAAGATTTTTGGTCTCTATGAAAAATATGGTTTCTTTACTCAGTTATTTAAGAGTGATGTTGTAGTTGCAGTAGTCCAGGAATTATGCAAGAGAAAAGAATTTCTTAGCATGATATCTTTCATCCAGCCACCTGTGTAGTTGGAATAAAAGTAGAGCCTTCTTTCCCATTGACAAACCTCGGCTATTTAATTTCTTTTGACTTTTTTTTTTTTTTTGTAATCAGCTTTTGTATTTATACATCTTAATATTATTAAATTTACGTGGCTGACATTTTAAATACAAGTATAAGTTACTTCAGTAAAATAAAATGTAATTTCATTTATTTGAGGTCCATTTAAACAACATTTAATGCATCAATAATATGTTGATTGCAAAAATCGAAGAAATAGTAAAAAAAAGTAGCAGAGGTTTCTCAATGGGAAATGTGACTGTAACTTTACCCCATTAAAAGTTAAATTAGCTTGTTTGTTTGTTTTTAATATATCTAAAGAAAGCTAGCAACATTTGTAGTTTTCTGTTACAAACTTTATAAAAAACCCAAATTATTAACCAACCTTAAAAAAACAGAAAACCTTGAAGTATTTAAAATTCCAAACTTTTTCTAATCCAGATCTTAATTTGAGGTTAATTTTAGTAGCTTTTTTCATAGTTTTGTTCTGTTTTATGCAAAGCCTCTTCGGGCAAGCTACAGCTTTTTTCTCTGCTGCTTAAATCCGGTTTAAATACTTCTTGAAGCTAAACTTAGTAATGTATTATTTATTAATAAATGTATAGATTCACTGAATTAATGTGGTGAAGGTATTGAATCTCTTAGTTTAGCAGCTGTATTGAATTCATTCATGTTATACATTGAATTTATATACATGGAGAATCTTTAAATTTAGTATATGAAATGTTATATGTAACTAGGTCTACAAGTAGTGCATCTATAATTAATCTATTACATGTAGAAAATATTATTTTAGTAAATTATCAAATAATGTTAACTGTGTAGCTAAGTAATGAATCTATAGCTTTAACTTAATAGATTGACAAATTTTACACATTAATTTAGTGAATCTGTAAGTAGTTTGAATATGTTGTTTTTTTTAAATGTCTTTATTTATTGAATTATATAAGTATACATTTTACAAATGTGTTACTTTATGGAAATTAATAAAATCTTGGGTTAAAAATCCTCAATGTGTGTTTAAAAAGTTGAAAGAACAGTATCCCAAAACCATTTTGCTTTAAGAGCAGCATAGTTAGTTTTTCTACCCTAATAAGCCCCCGCACCTTCCAGAAAGTAAAGAAAAGCTAAATATCTCTTGCAAAAACTGAATTCTGAATTTACCAAAGTGGAGGAAATTCAACCCAATACCAATGAAGGCTTTTTAAATTATAATGTCTTTTTAAGGGGGGTGGGTCCAATTTTATTGGAATCTTTTCTTTTCTTTTTTTTTGCCAGTTTATGATCTGAGCCTACTACAACAATATTGCTATTTAAAGAAAGAAAGAGAGCAAGGAAATTTTAAAATCAGTATTTATTGAAAGATTTTTTTGGTGGAGGAAATACCGATTTGCCCAGTTTGTTAAAAAGTGGCATTTTTACCTATCCTGGCTATTGGTTGTTCTGGGAACTCTCTGGGCTCATGATAGGGAGAATCCAGTCTCTTTTAATGGGCCTGAATAGGCCGGGAAGGCAAACCAGGAAGTCCTGCCTTTGCAGCTTATGACTTCTGTTTGGCAAGTGAAGGGGGCAGGGCCTCAGTAGATCATGCCCTTGGTTTCGCCTCGTGGCTTCTTGATCTTCTCAAAGTTCTTGAGGACGATGTCATAGAGGACAGCCTGGGTAGAGAGGCAGAGATGGGGGGGGCCCCCAGGTCAATCTGGGGGAGCCCCTCAGTCCCAGCACCCCTGTCCCCAGGTGCCCCCAACTCACATAGAGGTTGCGAATCTCCATCACCATCAGTCGCAGCTCTGCAAACTCTGCCTCATCCAACTCGTGAACCAGCTGCCGGTAATCACCCTACGGAGGGGGAAGAAAGCACAAGTGAAAGTGGGGGGTGCTACCAGGGAGGGAATCTGGGTGTCTGGATGCCTGGTTAACAAATTGGGGCCTTCCTGGAGGGTCCCAGGGGTCCAGCTATCCTCCCTGATACCTCCAGGGGTCAGGGGGTGCTAGTTGCTGGGGAACCCAGGCATCTAGGCAGCTGAGATCAGGTCATATACTCACCACGTGGGGGTTTTTGGCTGCTTTGGCCACGGCATCACCTCGCTCAGAAAAATACCTGGAGAGAGGGGCAGAGAGTACCAGGAGATCAGATCTGCACCCCAAATCAGGAGGGAGGAAGGGAATGGAGAAGGCGCTGGGAGACCCTGGGATGCCTTCCCCCCGCCTCTTCCCTGCTTTCCCCAAAATTGCATCCAACCCACTGCAAACCCAGCTGGGAACTTGCAAGGGGCATGGGACAAAGAGCAGAGATTTGAACTGCAAAAAAATACTGTACTCTCTCTTATATAACACCTCCTTCCCATATAAGGTGTTCTCTTTTGAGAAGACCCCAAGAAGGAATAAAAGGTCTTACTTTTATAGGGTCATTTAGATGATCCCTGAGGTCCCTTCCAACCCTGATTTTCTATGATTCTATGAAAATACATGCAAGTCTGGGGTCCTGAGAGGAGGGACCACGTGATGTGGGAGCTAGAAGGGAGCAATAGCAATTCCCCCCCCCCCCCATCCCAGCCACATTTTTAGAGCCACAGGGAGGACTTTTCCTTGCATTTATTGGGCACCTTAATTTTTCCTCAGCTGTTTTGGTGGGAGGGGGAGTGGTGCAGATTATACACAAAAAAATAGTCACATTCAATTTCCCTAC